ACAGGGAAGCTGCGGGCATGGGTAGGGGTCACCTCACTCAGCCTGTTGAGTGGCTGCAGGACATCCCTCTCCAAGGTCATCTCAAACTCGGCCAGGATGCGAGCCAGCTGGTTCTGAATGGCACAGCTCATCTCCAAGGCCTTCCTGTGGACACAGCACCCAGTGGGCCCAGGCTCCCACAGCCCCGCTCCCCCATCTAGAAAGACTAGGTGGGGCTTCCTTCCACCCCATCGCCTCCTGCCCCTTCGATCTCTCCTTCATCCTTCAGCCCAACACCCTCCCAGGCCTGGCTGCCCTCCCTGACCTGGACTCTGTCCTCAGCCCAGACACTCCCCCTACCTAGTCATCCTTCCACTGTGGCTGCCCTCCCTGCCCCGGACCCCCTCCCAGCCCAGGTCCCTCCCTGGCCTCTCCAGGTGAGAGCTGAGGCCTCTGTCCGTGCTCACCCCATGCTGGAGTCAGGGTCAAGCTCCTTGAAGCTCTCGGCCATCGTAGTGGACAGAGCCATGAGAGGAAGCTTCTTCTGCAGGGAGGGGCAGGGCGGCTGTGAGCAGGAGTGTCTGTGCCGCCCACTGGGCCTCCCTTCACCCTCTCAGAGTGACCCCGGGGGGCAGAACTCCACCGAGGCACTGGGCTTGGAGGTGGGAGGAGGGAATCCAGGAGGGCCACAGTCACAGGGGAGGGTGGAAGCAGGTGATGACACGGCATGGTGGGGTGACCTCTCCTTGGGGCCCTGGAAAGAGCTCCTATCCCACTGGGGCCCCCTTTCCCATTCCCAGAAGCCACTTGAAGGGGGTGGAGGGAGGGACCAAATTCCATTACGGACTAGAAAACTAAGAACAGAGGCCACGGGCCTGCCAAGGTCACACAGTTGGAGGGAGCGTGGAGGAGCTGGAAACAGGCCTCCAAGTGGCTCTCCCCCGCCCCGGGCACAGGTGGCTGCTATGGCCACCGTGACACGCAAACCCTCCACGCTCCTATGGCTCCCCTTTCCCCAGAGCTCTGGCTACACTCATTGTTGACGATTCCAAAACATGCCTGAGCCGTTCCCACCTGGAGTTACAGGCAGCACCAGCTTTGGTCACGAGGGTCAGGGTTCAAATCTTAGTGTGGCCACTTACTAGCTTGGGTGGCCTTGCGTGAGCCTCTTTACCTCTGTAAGTCTCCATTTCCTCATCTGCACACGAGCTTTAATTAGCAGCCTCCTCCTTCCATTGTCAGCATTGAGCAAGGCACTGCACTGACACATCTTAGCAACACACTAACAGTGACCAGTCCATAAACGCTGCTGTTGACGAATACCACTGAGTATCGCTCAAAATCCAGCTCTAATGCCACTTCCTTCAAGAAGCCCTCACAGATTGCCCCAGTGGAGAGGGCCTGCTCCATTCTAAGGGCTGATTGGACAAGGAGTTCAGGTGCAGTCAGAAGTCTGGCTCTGGCTCAGGGGATTGGTGCAGAGGGGGGCGGGGTCAAGAAGGGATGGAGAAGACAGAGGGCCTCATGAGTGGGGTGCCCAGGGGCCTTGGGAAAGAGCAGTCTTCACCCCCTTGGGGCCAGAGGCTCAGACCGGCAGGGAGACCCCAGCCCCTGACATCACTCCCCCATTGGACAGAGGTGTCTTAGCTAGGCCCCTCCTCCCTGGGACCCCCACTCACCACCCGCTTGTCCATATCCGACCCGCTCTGGCCCTGCAGACAGGCCTGCAGTCGCTTGTGGACATTGTGGGCTGCTCGCTTGGCTGGCTCCAGCCGCTGCTCCACCTGGGAGGGGCACGGGGTTACGGATCCCGGGAGGTTACTGCCCCCCTCCCCACTGCCCTGTTCTTTCCCAGAGCAGGATCCCCTTTCCTCTTCCCTCCTCCTGGGGACCCTGCGGCCCACAGCTTCGGGAATGACTCAACCCAGGCCCCCAACTGGCGTCCCTGCCCGGCCCTCTGGTGACAGCCTGCATGGACCTGCCTTGCCACCCGCAGCTGGCCCAGGCATGTACCTGCTGGAGGTCCTCACCCAGGAACTCGGCAGTCTCCGTCTCCGGGGTGCTGATGGAGTGGGGGGTGAGGGGGAGCTTCTGCTGAGCTGGCCCAGATTAGGACCCCCCTGCTCCCCCAACAGAGCACCTGAACCCCAGGTGCTTCCAGCACCCCTCCCAGTTGGGGCCCGCCCTGGGTGGCCCGCCTGCCTTATCCCAGTCAGAGCACATTCCATGGGGATAGCAATAGGATACATGGCTTTTCCTCCTCCGCCCAGGGCTGAGTCCCGAGAGAGGGCGGATGAAACCAAAGGGGAGACTGGGGGAGCCACCCAGAGCCCAGCCTCTCTCTTCTGCTGACCTGAGGAGAGGAGGCCTGGGCTGGCCCCAAGAACGGGAAGTGTGTGGGCTCGGGCTTTGGGCTGTCAGTCACACAGGACTCTGGACTGTAGTAGTGGGCAGGCCCTGGGCCCCTGGCCCGGACACATGGGGACACAGGCCCAGCACAAGGTGGCCTGGCTGCCCAGGCCCACACAGGCATCGGGTTGTGTGAGACTAGAACCAGGTCTCTGGGCACCCCGTCCCCTCCCCTGGGCCCAGAGATAGGAAGCACCCAATGCAGGGGGAAGAGGAGAGAAGACAGGCCAGGGGAGCTCCCCAAACTTCCGGCCACCCCTCCACCAGCTCGGGGGCTGGGGTGGGAACAGGGAGGCCCGGCGACGTTTCCACCTGAGGCTGGGAAAGCAGAAGCAGGACAGAGAAGCGGGCCTCCGGCTGGGGGAGTGGGGCACACGGCGGGACAGGAACAGGCTCTTCCCACCAGCCAGGGCCGTCTCCTCCCCACCCCCAAGGTCTGGGGCCCTGGCCGCCCCTCCCCCACCAGACAGCCAGAGACGGCTGTCCCCATTGCTCAGAGGGGACAAGTGAGACCAGGGAGGCGCGTTCACTCTGAGGCCCATGGAGGCAGAGACTTAGCATCTCCGATCCTCCCTGCACCCCTCTCTAATGGGGGGTGCCCCTGCCCTCAAAAGCCAGCGCCTTTCCCTCTTGCTCTAGCTGGGAGGTGGGTGACTCAGAGGGGAGGGGGTGGCAGGGCTCTGGTTAGCAGAGGTCCAGCTGCCTCCCCCGCTCCTCCCCCTCCCCCTCCCCTCGGGTCCAGCGGGGGTGAGCGCGGGGCAGGAGGGGACAGGGCGCACACTCACCGTCCCAGACTGCCCGTGTGGGCCAGCTGCCGCAGGAGATGTG